CCCATGGCCTTGGCCTCCCTCTCCTGCTGTCCCCTCATCTGCAGTGAAATCAATGGCTTCTATTTTTAGTTGCTCTAATAGTCAGAATTTCACACCCAACCTTCCTCACCCTGCTGAGCTCTGCTGCGACCTGGCCCACCTGGTACTCATTGTAGATATTATTGGCCCTATCTCCAGCTTCTTCAATGTCTGCTAACAAGAAAGATCCTTATCCTGTGCTGTTCTGAGCTTGCCACTTTCCTTTTCTTTAAAGATCTATTTATTTATTTGAAAGGCAGAGTTACAAAGAGAGAGGGAGAGATAGAGCGAGAGAGCAAGATCTCCAAATGGCCACATAGCCAGGGCTGGGCCATATTGAAGCCAGGAGCCAAGCGGGACTTGGGCCATCTTCCACTGCTTTCTCAGGTCTGCTAGCAGAGAGCTAGGTAGGAAGTGGAGCAGCCGGGACTTGAACCCTTGCTCATATGGGATACTGGCATTGCAGGTGGTGGCTTAAGCCACTGTGCCGCAGCTCCAGCCCCTCCACTTTCCTTCCTTAAACACTACACTTTGGGGCTGTGTGTTAGGCCACTCTTGGAACGCTGGCATTCCGTATCGGAGTGCTGGCTGAGTCCAAGTTACTCCGTTTCCAATCCAGTTTCTTCCTACTAAAGCACCTGGGCAAGCAGCAGAAGATGGTCCAAGTGCTGGCAACCCTGCCACTCACTTGGGCGACCTGGATGGAGTTCTGGGCTCCTGGCTTCAGCCTGGTCCGGCCCCGGCCCCTGGGACCACGTCGGGGGGGATGAATCAGCAGAAGGAAGATCTCTCTCCGTCTCTCCCTCTGTCTGGGTTACTCTGCCTTTAGGAAGAAAAACCCACTGCGTTTCTTCTTGACTCCTGCAGAAACTAGAAATCCACTTTTCTCCTCCTTATTCGGGGAGCAGCTGATGAGAAGCTGTCTTATTCACCAGGGTTTTCTGGGGACGTAGAACCAATAGTGTGAGTACAGGGAGGGTAAGAGATCCATTCGGAGGAGCTGGTACCGGAGAACAGAGGCCGGCATGCCCCAGATTTGCAGCGTGGGCTGCCAGGCCGGAGCCCCAGCAGAGCCTGGGCACAGATGAGTGCACGAGCTGTCTGCTGGGGAAGCCCTTGGTGCCCGTTTGTTCCGCTCAGCGGTGGCATCAGGCCCGCCCACGTCACCCAGGCCAGTCCCCCTTGCTCAGCTCCACACTGTACACGCTCACCTCCTCCAGAGACACTGTCCAAGCTGACACCAAATCAATCCGCCTCCGCTAACAGCCCAGAGGGGCCCCTCCCCGCCACGCAGAACCCACCCCTGTCCTGCGGGTCAGTGTGGAGCTCACGCTCAGGGCCAGCTCCATCTCCTTACTGCACTTGCGTGGAAAAGCGAGCCGAATGCTGCTTCCCGCAGTCCCGTGGCTCACCCCCAAGGCCTGGGTAAACCAGCTGCCCCGGAAGGGGGACAACCACTGTTTCATCTTCCTAGCACTTCGTGCACTGCCCCTCCCGCTGCCACCAGGGGGCGAGGAGGGCCACGTGACCAAGGCTGGGCCAATCAGAGCCCAGAGTGAAGCCCGGCGGGAGGAAGTAGAATCCCTGTCTCTGGTAAGGCTAAACCCTGTGACCTCGGGCTCCCACAGCCGTCGCTCCACCTCCTCCAACAGAACAAGGTGGATGGGCTGGAAAACGATTAAGGAGCAAGAAGGAGAGAATGTTCTGGTGATATTCCCGGGGCTGAGTCCACTTGTTCCTGAGACTCCAACTCACACCTGCCATTCTCTCTCTTTGATGATGAAAGTCAAAACCTCACCTCCCCTGCTTTCCTCACTCCCATTTCTTTGTCTTAATCTAGTACAGTGGTTCTTTCAAACTGGGGTGAATTTGCCCTCCATGTCTGGAGACGCTTTTGGCTGTCACAATTCATGGGTGCTAACGGCATCGAGGCATACAGAGCGGGGGTGCTGGAAGCAGGCTACAGTGCACAGGACAACTGCCCACAGCGAGGGTTATCTGGCCACAAAGGTCAACAGAGGTCGTGAAGCCCTGCTGAGGCTCACCTCCCGGGTTGGTTGGACTTCTGTTACTTTAACTAAAACGTCTGAGAGGAGCTTTATGGGAAAGAAGAGGTTCAGTTTGATCTTACTTCCATCTGCTGGTTTGCTCCCCAGATGGCTGCAACAGCTGGGACTGGGCCAGGCTGAAGCCAGGATCCAGGAAGTCCACCCAGATTTCCCACGTGGATGGCAGGGGCCCAAGCACTTGAGCCATCATCTGTTGCCTTCCCAGGTGCATTAGCTGGGAGCTTAACTGAACTGGTGCTCCGATATGAGGCACTGGCATTGCAGGCAGCAGTTTAACACAGAGGATGCCCCTCACTATCCATAGAGGTTGGTCCCAGGTGCACTTGCAGATGTCAAAGAGCACAGATGTGCAAGTTCCTTCTATAAAAAGGTGTGCTATTTGCCTAGGACCTACGCACATCCTCCTGTGTACTTTAAATCATCTCTAGTGATTTCTAAAACCTAATACAATGTAATTGCTATGTCAATAGTTGTTCCATTGAATTGTTTCTGGAATTATGACAAGAAAAAAAGTCTGTCCTTGTTATGTACACATGCAATTTTATTTTTTCCAAATAGAATTTTCCATCCACGGACAGCTGAGTCTGCAGGTGAGGAAGCAGCGGGGACCCACTGTGCTTTTGTCCCACTGATAAGCAGGTGCCGTCTTCGTAGCTCCTCGTGAGCTGATCGCCAACAGTTACTCAGAGCATTTGTGCGTCATGAAAACAGTGCCTCTGCCCTCTGCGTCTCCCCAGAGATAAGCCTTGATGACATATCTCTCTCTCTGTTTCTCCGCCTTGAAATTGGGTTAGTCTTGTGCCTTTGGGTTGCATTCGTGGGTAAGTAAGGAGGCAGGAAACGTGACTACGCCCTCCTTCTGCAGTTCTCCACAGCTCCCTGCCGTCATTTTCTGCTTGTGGCTCCCAATTTCCAAGCACATTTTCAGGGGGCTTTGCTCTTGTGATAGAACATTCCGCAGTGAGTTGGAAGTTGATGCTGCGTGGTTGCCATGGCAATGCCAGCTGCTGCCTTCGCAGCAAGGCAGAGCAGCCATGGGGCGGACAAGACGTGGGCAGAGCCTCTGAGAGCCACACACACCAGGCCTGGTCTAGTCTCTTTTAGCATCAGCCTTTTCCAGAAACTTTAACACCATCAGCTGTTTTGCCTTGGCGGGTTCTGTCCGCTAGCTAACCATCTCTGTGGATGTGGAGGCCTGTGGGTTCCCTTGCTAGCCACCTCTGAGATGCTGAAGATGTGTGACACACATCTGGTTGTTGGTGAGTCAACTCCTGCCCCAGCCCTGGAGATGCTAGCAGAGAACTCTGCCCTGTTGAGCTGTCACTGTCACCAGGAAGTTCCCATTTTGTAAAGAGCTGTTTGCGGGCTGTTGTGACAGTGTCTGCCTTCAACGCGAGCCTGGCTCATTTACAGAGCGTAGTTCACGACTTGTGCTTCCGGAGGCGGGGCAGTTCCAGAGCATGTCCTGGCTTCTGGTGAGGCCCTTCTCCTGTATCGTCACACGCAGAGGGTGTCCCGTGGCGTAGGGAGACTGAGCCAGCTGTGGCTAAGGTTGCTCTTCCTCTTCTGATAAAGCCACTAACACCATCGCGGGAGCCCCAGCCCCTTGACCTCAGCCAACTTCCATGATCCCACAAAGTTCCGCCTCCAAATACCATCAATTTGAGGATGACGTAGCCAACACACGAACCGTGGGGTATGCATTCAGACCATAGCAGTGTCTTCCTTCTTCCATGGGTGATAAAGACAATCACCGGTACCCAAATGGATCGTGCCCCTAAGCATGAGATAGCAGGGGAGGGCCTGAGCAGCTTCAAAGTCTCTGCACCCCCGGTGGCCATGAGTGGGTGCTCGGCGATCTGAGGCCGGTGCCGGGATCCGAGTACAGGAAAGCCTGCTGCGTCCACAAGCCACAAGCTGTGTGGCAGTCCCCGCGGTGAATCGGGAGCAGGTGCCGAAAGCGGCTGAGAGTGCTTAGCCTGGCACGGCGGTGGCTTTTGCTGCTCGGGGGGAGGGAGTCACAGCTCCTAGGGCCACGGAGATGCACCCAAGCCACTGGGGACTGAAATCTCCAAACAGGCCCCCAAGGTCAAAAGCATGGGGCGCCTTCTAAAGAACCACCTGGGCACTCCACGCAGAAGCTGCAGGGGCAGGGGCTTTCTGAGGGCTGTCAGAGGGGCTCTGAGGCGGGGGCCAGTGAGATTCACTTCCGAGGGACTTCCAGCCCCAGAGGAAGGACAACAAGGTCAGAAAGGCAAAACTGAGAGCCCGGATGTGCACCACTCAGGTCCCCGAGCCACACCGTGCCTTCTGATGTCCCCTGGGCGTGAACACACAGGACGTCTCAGCTCCCCATCTGGCCTAGGCGAGGGGAACCCCTGTCAGCCAAGCCTGCTCCTTCCTCTTCCTTTAGATACCCCCTGCCGTGAGCAGGGGTCCCCACAACGTCATTCTAGGTTGTCACCGCTGAGCGGTCTGTGTCACTTCTGGATCTTCCCGTTTTGTCTTCTGTCAAACACAGCAAACCTTTACCTGTTTGTCTTGGCTGCTGGTGGGGACGGGGGAGGGGTGAGGATTGCCTGAGAAAGAGGTGGGGGCAAAAGGTGTCGCTTAGCACCCAGGCTATAGCCGGTACTATATATATGGTTCTCCTCGCTATGTGCCCTTCACCCTCTGCAGGCCCAGTGCGTGTGTGGTCTGCAGACACTAGATGCAGTGCTGCCTCTCCCCGCCCCCGCCCCCAGCCAGGACCCTCCTGCAGGTCCTGACACTCACTGCCCCTCTCCACCCCCAAGCCAGCCCTGCCGTGCCCTCCCAGCCAGCCCGCCCTGCTCAGCACCCAGCCGGCCTGTAATTAGACTGCGGTCTGGCTTTGGGAAAGGCGCCGGCAGCCTCCCTGGCCCCCCACCCTCCCACCCCCAGCTCCTCGGCAGGGGCCTTTGGCTGGTCTGGCTGGTTGACTCCATCTCTTCTCTATGCGTAGGGACACCCTTGGAAGGGAGGCAGTGCCTCTTCTCCAAGGCCCTCAGAGGAGATGTGGGCAAGTGGAGGGAGAGAGTCAAGGTGGCTCCAGCCATGCCAGGGCCCAAGACTTTGGGAAGGTAAAGAACCCACAGAGATCACCCACCAGACTAAGGGGCCACCTCATCGCAGATGCGGGAGCTAGTTAAGGGTGCTTGAGGTTCCTGGACACAAATGTCTCCTCTTTTTTTTTTTTTTTTTTTAAGATTTATTTATTTATTTGAAAGTCAGAGTTACACAGAGTGAGAGGAGAGGCAGAGAGAGAAAAGAGAGGTCTTCCATCCGCTGGTTCACTCCCCAGATGGCCGCAATGGCCAGAGCTGTGCCGATCCGGAGCCAGGAGCCAGGAGCTTCTTCAGGGTCTCCCACGTGGGTGCAGGGACCCAAGCACTTGAACCATCTTCCACTGCTTTCCCAGGCCACAACAGAGAGCTGGACAGGATGTGGAGCAGCCGGGTCTCGAACCAGCACCTATATGGGATGCCGGCACTTCAGGCCAGGGCGTTAACTCCCTGTGCCACAGCGCTGGCCCCCAACTGTCTCCTTTTTTCAAAAATATTTATTTTATTTATTTGAACGAGTTATGGGGGGGGATCTTCTCATAAAGTTACCAATCCTATTGGATTTTTTTTAAAGATTTTTTTTTTTTTTTTGAAAGGCAGGGTTACAGAGAGGCAGAGAAGGAGAGAGGGCTCCCATCTACTGGTTCACTCCCCAGGTGGCCACAATGGCTGGAGCTGGGCTGATCCAAAGCCAGGAGCCAAGAACTTCTTCTGGGTCTCCCACACAGGTGCAGGGGCCTAAGGACTTGGGCCATCTTTTACTGCTTTCCCAGGCCATAGCAGAGAGCTGGATTGGTAGTGGAGCAACCGGGACTCAAATCAGTGCCCATATGGGATGCCAGCACTGTAGGTGGCAGCTTTATCCACTATGCCACAGCAGTGCCCCTCCCCTTATTTTTTTTTAGATTTCTTCCTATTAGATTTTGATCCCATGCTTACGTCCTCATTAAACCTTAATTACTGTCTGAAGTCCCTGTATCTAAATATAGGCCATTCGGGGTAGGGCTTCAACACATGAACTCTGTGTGTTTGGGATGGGGGTGGGGTGGCACTTTCAGTCCATAGCACTAAAACATGCATGAAACAGGGAGAACCCAGGGGCCTTCCTCCTGGGGTTCTTATAAGGATTGACTGACGCCTCCTTCAGTGCCTGGCAGGCAGTAGGAAGTCAAGGATATAAATGAGAAGGAGATTATGAAAATGGCTAAGTTGTTACTGTTTGCTACTTAACCCTGGGTCAAGTTAGCAGCCCGAATGTTCAGCATCCCCTCACTTACCTATCTCTGCAAATGCTGGCACAGACATTTGGTCTAGCAGGTAGGATGCCACTTGGGATGGCTGTGTTCCGTATCCGAGTGCCTGGGCTTGCGTCCTGGGTCCGGTCCTGACTCCAGTCTCACCCTAGTGTGTACCCTGCAAGGCAGCCGGTGACAGCTCAGGTGGTTGGGTCCCTGTGCACATGTGGGAGAACCGCATTGTATTCCTGGCTGCTGGCTTCAGCCTGGTTGGGTCAGGCATTGGAGAGTGAACCAGCAGATGGGAGCGTGCTCTCTCTCTGTCTCTGTTTCTCTGCCTCTCAAATAAAAGCCAAAAACAAAAAACCACCAGCTCCCCAGCCCATTGTTTCAGTGGAGTTGAGAACTGAATTCTCTGTTTAAACAGAACAAACAGGTCAGCTCCACAGCTCACTAGGCTAATCCCCTGCCTGCCATGCCGGCACACTGGGTTCTAGTCCCGGTTGGGGCGCTGGGTTCTGTCCTGGTTGCTCTTCTTCCAGTCCAGCTCTCTGCTGTGGCCCGGGAGTGCAGTGGAGGATGGCCCAAGTGCTTGGGCCCTGCACCCGCATGGGAGACCAAGAGGAAGCACCTGGCTCCTGGCTCTGGATCAGCGCTGGCAGTGCAGTGCCAGCCGTAGTAGCCATTTGGGGAGTGAATCAATGAAAGGAAGACCTCTCTCTCTCTCTCTCTCTCTCTCTCTCTCTCTCTCTCTCTATCACTGTCTAACTCTGCCAGTCAAAACAAAACAGAACAGCTGGCGCCATGGCTCACTAGGCTAATCTTCCACCTTGCGGCGCCGGCACACCGGGTTCTAGTACCGGTCGGGGCGCCAGATTCTGTCCCGGTTGCCCCTCTTCCAGGCCAGCTCTCTGCTGTGGCAAGGAATGCAGTGGAGGATGGCCCAAGTGCTTGGGCCCTGCACCCCATGGGAGACCAGGAGAAGCACCTGGCTCCTGCCATTGGATCAGCGTGGTGCGCCGGCCACGGTGGCCACTGGAGGGTGAACCAACGGCAAAGGAGGACCTTTCTCTCTGTCTCTCTCTCACTACTGTCCACTCTGCCTGTAAAGAAAAAAACACATCATTTTATCCAAAACCAGAACAAACAACTCTACACATGCTGTCACCTCTCCCTTCTCTAAGCTGAACGCTAACCTTCCTTAGGGTTGCACGGCAGATCCCTCGGGTAAGGCTCAGGGTCCCTCTGGCCTCTCAGGCCCCTACAGGAGGGCTGGGCCCCAGCACGCAGCTCTGGGGGTTATGATTGTATCTGATTCCTGCACTAGATTGGGAGCATGGGAGGGCAGCAGCTGGCTGCTAGTCTCTGCACTCTTGATGCCCTGCCCAAAGCCCGCTGCAGAAAAAGAGCTCAGTAAGATTAGATGAACAAATACGTTCAGCACTGAACGATTCATCGAAGTCGTCAACAGAAAACAAGCCTCAAAAAAGTCAGTTCGTGCGGACTGGGCGTGGCCCTTACTGTCACACCGGAGGCGGTGTCGCCTTTCTCTTAGGAAGCCGCTTGGCAGAACCACTATGGTATCCCTTTGGGGAGCCTCCATTCCCTCTTGCTGCAAACTGGTTTAGCTTGACAAGGAAATTGGCCGTTGGCCCCACCGCAATGCAGATGGTGCAATGCCTGTCTGCCCTACCCCCACCTCAATCCAGGCCAAGCCCCAGACACACCCCACCAACGTGTTCACTCACCTCTGTCCCAGCTCCAGGCAGTTAAAGCAACCAGGGAGTTCGACTCAAAGGACAGAGTGACATTTAAACCAGTGCCTGCAGGCTGAATCCCAGCTATTTAAATAGTAGCCAAGGCAGGCCGATTAGTGTAACAACCCAGGTCTTAGTGGCTTAAGCTCAGTTTGTTTCTTGCTTGTGTCACAGTCCACTGAAAGGAGTGGGGCTCTGCTCCACGCTGTCATTCTGGGATCCAAGCTGTTGCTTTCTGAGCCTACCACCAGGTCTTAAGAGTCTCCGGTCCTCAGAGAGTACACGCCGAAGTCCAGCAGGCTCAGGTACGGGTGGTTCCACAGGGTCAGACCAGATAGGCTAACAGCCCTTCATTCACATTGCATTGGCCTGAACCCAATCTTTTGGCCACGCCCAACTGCAACTGGGAAACAGCTGGGAACTGAAGTCCAGCTGTGCGCTCAGGAAGAAAACGCAGCTACTGTTGTGGACAGAGATGTGAGAAGAGGAAGTGGGGGTACTGCAGTGAGATGGACCATTGTGTGCCAAGGTTTGGGTGTAGAAGGAGGGCACGGCGGGAAGGAAGAAGTCGGTGTTGCAGGCATGGAGCTTCTCTGGCCCTTCCGGGGGGTGTGATCGCGGCTCAGTGGTTCCAAGTTCTTCCAGCTCAGACCACTGAGTGTTTCTGTGAGCATTTTGCAAAACCTTTGAAAACAATGTTTTGATTGTTCATTTATTGACGGGTAACATGCATGTATGGATCAACATTTTAAAAGCAAAAGAGTTGAGGGTGCAACATCTCCCTCCCTGGCTTACAGACACCTGCTTCTCCCTAGAGGCAGCCAGTGCCTTCAGTGACTTGCATATCCTCCCAATGATCCAATGACGTTTCAGGCATATTTACATATTGTATACAAAAGGGGACTTCAACAAGTTCAGGATTGGAATTAAAAGATGATGTACATTTTCCACAAACATTTTGCAGTACCTGTAGATTTTTTTCTATGATTCTCTTGCCCCCTTTTGCACTAATTGCAGTATTCTAAGCAGACTATACTTTCTGCACCTTTTGTCTGAAAGATTTCTGTCTTTTTCTGGGGGGTGGGAGCATCCAATCCCCTGGTTCATTCCCCAAGTCTCTGAGTGAGCTAGGTCAAAGCTGGGAGCCAGAAAGGGCCTCCCAGGGCCTGCACTGCTGGGAAGCTGACGTCAGAAGCTGTAATGAGCATTCAAACCCAGGCGCTCTGGTGTGGGACTCAGGCAACACCAGTAGGCTAAGTCCTTGCTCCCCTCTTCACCACATTGATGGCAGCACAGAACATATTCTACTGTGACTGTGCCATGAGGGCAGTCCCCTGTTGGTGGACAGCTAGATTGTTTCCAACCTACGATAACTTCGGAGCAATTAAGTGTGTGCCTATCATTTTGCAGGATACTTGCATGAATGGAACTTTTGGGTGAAAGAGTTATCCTATTCTAACACAGCAGGAAATGCCCCGTCCTCCTGCCAGAGCCTCTCCCTCCTCCCACCAAGGACACAGGCTTTGGCTATACTCCTGAGAAGGGCTGTGCCCAGCCACATGGTCCCCAGCATGGCTCAGTGGGCAGAAAGCTCCCCTTGAACGATGGCAGTGCCCAGTGTGGTCCTCCTGAGACTCGGGGTGACCTGTCTCCATGGCCTCCCATCACCCATGAGCCTGAGCCCACCTTTACCCATGGCGACTTCATCCCTCACCTCTAGAACACAGGCAAAGCCTGCCGAAGGCCAAGGTGGCCCTGGAAGCCTGAACAATGCCCCTCCTAGAGAGGCCTTGACCCCCCAAACCTGTGACTACGTGGCTGGCATGGCCAATGGGATGTCAGGAAGTGATAGTATCTTCAGATGGGGAGGTTATTCTGCATTATCCAGGTGAGCTCAGTGCAACCACGAGGGTCCTTGAAAGATAGAAAAGAGGCAAGAAAGTGAGTGCAGAGAGCCTGGAAGAGGCTGCCCCTCGGGCGCTGGAGCCAGGCTGAAGGGGCTTCTAGAACCTGGAAGAGGTCAAGGTCAAGATCAGAGTCCTGCCCTGGAGCCTCCAGGAGGAAGGCGGCCCTGCTGATGCATCCGTCTTAGTCCACTTGCACTTGGATTGCTGACCTCCAGAATGGAAGACAATAAGTTGGTGTGGCTTCAAAGCCTTGGAGTTTGCAGTGGTTTCTAACAGCAGCCACAGGCCACCCGCACAGCACCTCCAGACCGGACTGCCCCTCCTGGCTCCCCAGCCAAGTCCCTGCTCTCAGCAGGCTGCCTTGCACCATCCACCCCCGCCCATGTTCTACCTCCCCTGTCCTCCTGGGTGCTCTTTGACACCCACGCCATCTCTTTGAGCTCCAGTTCTCTCATCTGCAAGATGTAGCCCCTGGTGCCACCGCCACCGCAGGGCTGCTGTGAGGGTTAAATGAGATGCTGCTGTGCAGTCGCTTAGCAACCGAGATTGGCGCTTGATGCTATTTCTGGCTGTCAAGCCTAATTCTGAAACTCTCATTTGTGCGCCTAGAACCCTCTCCTGCTCTGGCCCTGGTGCGGGCCCCAGCTCTCCCCAAGGGGACACCCTTTCAGGCAGTGCTTGGAACAGCTGGGGGACCCTCAGGGAGCTGAGTCTCTTCCCTGCCCCCCTTGGGGACCAGGGCCCTGAGTGCTGTCCTTATAGCAAGGAGGAAACTCAATGTGGCTTCCAATCCTTTGTGGCCACTTCCCAGCTGAGTGGTGATAGGGGAGTTACTCCACCGCCCTCAGCCTCGGTTTCCTCATCTGTAAGGTACCCATGGTGAGCTGTAGCCCTGGGTGTGGGCGTGAGGGTTAAGGGTGTTCATGGCTGGCCATATAGCAAGTGCCTGCTAACCAGGAGCAACCACCGATGTCACATACTGGTGTGGGCAAGGGGAGCGCCTCCCTCAGCCAGGCAAGGTGGAACCTGGAGCTCATAGAGTGTGTCGCCTTTCTTTAGCAAAGAGCGTCCAAACATACAAACACACATTAGGGATTCTGATGGGGCCCAGGCCACAGAGACGTCCTCAGGCCTCATCTCCATCAGCCTCTGCCCTCTGCTGTCAACCCCTCTGCCCCTGGGGTGCTTACACCAAACAGATTCCGGAAGAGTTCCTCCTGATCAGTCTGGGTAAACCCTAAGAACACTGGAGCTCTCATGGAAAGTGAGCAAGACGTGCAAAATCTCTCCTGGATGAGCCCAGCACCTTCCTTGCTTTGACAGTTGACTTTAGCAAACATTGAATGTATCAAATCAAAACACAGAGTTCTAAACTTCATCAGCCTTCAGATAAGTAATTGTTCAGTGTCAGTATGTCCCAAATACAGCACGGGGCATTTGGCCAGCTGTCCTCTCTTTGGCTGGCAGCCCTGTCTGTTAAGGGTCCTGCAAAGTAAGGTTTGGAAATGTTATTGAAGTGGGCAGTGGGGCTACTGGCTTTTCTCTCCCAGGCAAGGAGGTGACCATTCAAACTCAGGTGTGGTTTTCAGAAGTGTCCCTGCCGAGAGAGGCAGGGGGCCCTTGGTCTTCAGCCGCAGAATAACAATGGCAGAGGAAGGCCGATGATGTGGTCAGCAGCCACGTCCACTGTCAGCTGGCAGAGCCAAGTCCACAGTCAGATGGCAGGGGCCTGGATCGTAGCTCTGGAGAATCTTCCTTCTTCCCTCTGAGCCTCTGTTTTCCCACCTGTAAAGTGACAGTTCCCAAGTCCTTGGAGGGTATGAGCACTGAACAGAAAGCACATATGTAAAATGTATGTGTAGCAAGAACTGTCCCCGTGGTAGATGCTGGGGTTTGAATGTGTCCCCCGGAAGTTCATGTGTGCCCCAAAGTCGTATGCCAATGGCACCTGCAGCTGGGGCCTTTGAGAGGTCTTTAGGGTTAGATAAGTTCATGAGGGTGGCTCCATAAAAAGAGGAAGACCCAAGCTGCCAGCCGGCCCTGTCCCCCGACATGATGCCTCTGCCATGCTGTCACGCAGCAAGAAGCCTTTGCCAGGGATCACACCGTGGCGTAGTGGGCTAAGCCTCCACCTGCAGGGCCGGCATCCCACACAGGTGCTGGTCCGTGTCCCAGCTGCTCCACTTCCGATCCAGCTCTCTGCTATGGCCTGGGGAAGCAGCGGAAGATGGCCCAAGTCCTTGGGCCCCTGCACCAATGTGGGAGACCTGGAAAAAGCTCCTGGCTCCTGGCTTTGGATCAGCTCAGCTCCGGCCTTTGTGGCCATTTGGGGATTGAACCAGCAGATGAAAGACCTCTCCCCCACTCTCTGTCTGTAGCTCTATCTCTCAAATGGATTTTAAAAAAGAAGCAGCAGCAGCCCTCGCTAGAAGCCAGCATCATGTCTTGGGCTTTCCCACCTCTAGAACCGTGAGCCAAATAAACTTTAATTCTTGTAAATGAGCCAGTCTGGAGTATTTTGTTACAGCAACAGAAAGTGGACTAGGACGTTAGATGTTTTTGTGTACAGTCATTTAGGAAAACGGACACGTCCCCGTTTTCCTGATGCAGGCAGGGTGGGATTCCCAGGTGCACACCCATGCTCCCCAGCTGGGCACAAATCTGTGTGGAGCCCTCTGTTCCAGGGGGACCCTGCCTGTGGTCACTGTCCCTGCAGGAGGTGCTGGCAGAAGGCCAGTCCGGGCTGTTTTTGTCCCTGGAGCTCCGCCCATCCCGCCCCACAACCCCAGCAGCTGCAGGCTGTGTGACCTCAGAGTGTCAGCTCGCGCCCATCTTCAAGCTTCTGCTTGCCCCCTGCTCATGCATCAGGTGTGTCTCCCCCCGCCCCCCGCGCCCCGCCAGCTGCCGTCTCCGGGCCCTGCAGGGTGGCTGTGGTTCGCTTCCGTGTGAGTTGCACGCAGCAGGTGGAGCATCATCGTGACCCACAGGAGGCTCACAGCCCCCCTTGGCGAGCAGGTGTTGGCACAACGACTTCTGCAGAAGCAGAAACCGAAAATGCGAGGGTGCGAGAACACCTAGCAAGTGCTCCCCGGGCGCTGGCACTGCGCACGCGTTAGCTTGCCCTGAGAGCAGGCAGGGGCTTTGGTGGCTGCTGATGGTCGCGCAACACAGTCAGGCACTAGAGAAGCATGACCCTGAAAATGTCTTCTCGCCTGCGCTCCGGGCACCACTGAGACTTGGGGCCTGGGAGGGCCTCGGTGCTGCAGCAGGTTTACAAGCATTCATGGCCTTATTCCCTGGATGTCAGTGCCACTCCCCATTTGTTTAAACCAAAAATGTCCCCAGACTTGGAAAATGTCCCCCAGGTGGGAGAGGGAGGAGGTGACAAAATTGTCCTGCCAAGAACCTCCACTGGTAAGTGTTGCTTGATGAGG